TGTTCTTTCTTAGTCAATAATAGACTATTAGCACAATGCAGGGCATTAGCAAAAGATGCTCATTTGCCAGAACAAAACAACCCCAGCACTCCTATGCATAAGCAGCACCTTTCCTTAATGAATCAGAATTATTACATAGATGAAAGAGAACCAAATAACCACTTAGTTTTTTCCAGAAGAAAAAAAAAAAAATTTAAAAATTGAAAGATAGCTGGTTTTCATTAATTCTTAAAATTTGTACCTATGTGGAAAAAATAAAAAAGGAGAGGCATGTATTGTCCATCTACTCCAATTCTATTTCTCATAGCTGTCCCTCTATATAGACGCATCCACTTGCATAAATGATCTTCTACACCCTACTGAGACAATAAACAAGCATAGCCTTTCAAATTCACATTTGAAAATTAGATGGCAAAATATTCATGTCCTGAGAAGGACAAGATTGCCTCCCTATTGGTTTATGCAGTGAAAATTAAATATTTCTCCTTTTTACCATACACTCTTCCAAGTCCCTGTAATTGCTCATTGATCCACCACTGCCCATATCCTGAACATGATTAGAAGCAGACAACTTCACAACTGCCGAGTTTAGTTCGACATCTCAGATTACAATGACCGTGCAAGCAGCTTGACAAGCATCAATCTAGCAACCATAAAGCAGCTATAAAACCACATTTTTATGTGCACTGTAATGTTACTCCTAGTCATTGAGGGGAAATGAATACCTAAATGTCACAATGCTCAAGTAATATGCCTGGATATTTCATCAGTTGAGCCACTGTGTAATAAAACACATGTAAAACAGACTTGGTTGGAGTTTTCATGGTTTGGGTAAATCCAGCTGCTCCATCCACTTATTAGCAGAGCACATGCACAGGGAACTCGAATATGTAGGCTCCTGCTGCTTTTCCAACTTCTCGTTTTAAAGTAATTAGCATTCTCAGTGCATGCACATGCATGAGTACATTGCAAGAGGGTGGAAAGGCTGCCCACTTGATGCAGAGGGAAAACCCACAGCAATTCACTGAATAAAATTATATCACAATTGATCCAGAGGAAAAAAGTATACCAACTGCTATTTGTTATCAACAAGGTCTCATATTTTTTCGCTGCTTTGAAAAAACACGGGGGGATGGGGGGAGGGGCATCCTCTGCTCCCTGCTAAACAAAAATCAGCATTTTCAATGCACTCAATTAGCAGTGTTTTAGGTCTGTGTCAGATTCATCATCAGAGCTAATTGATTTCAGGCACAGGCCAATCTCACCATCCAACATCATTATGCAGAGGTAGGTGGTGAAAAGGAAAACAAATCTCTGATTAAGAAAAGCACGAGGGGGAGGCACACCATTTACAAGCTGCACACAGTATTGCCTCTCAGAGAAATAACCGTGTTTAAAAACATTCTGAAGGGGAGCCCCACAATCAGATTTTATAGGACTGCTCTGGAAGCCCCCAGATTGGAGATTTTAAATTAGACTAAGCTGGCAGAAAAGGTACACATTCATCTTTATCTCAGGAGAGAATGCGGGGGAAAGAAAATTCAATGTTTCCTGGCTTATTTCCCTGCTCTCCCTTCCACCTCCACGCACAAAGTAGAAGTGTGCTCTGGGGCAGGGAGGCCTATAGAGGAAACCGTGGTAGCACATAGGATAGTATTTCTAGAAAGCAAAAATATTTATCCCAACTAGCTAGCTGCATTGCAGTTGGAATGCAACTCTCTGTGTCGGTGGGAATATCTGAGGTCAGCACTTGTCAGAGGAAAGAGACATGCGCTCCTGTTCTCTTGACATGAAAAGCATACGTTGCCGGAGCGGGAGGCAGCTTTCCTGGCCCGAAGCCCGTGCTGGAGTCCCAGGAGATAAAAGGCTGGAAATGTCTCTCCTCTCCCACACGCACAAACCAGTTAATTCTCCAGACCTGGTGCTGTGCTGAGCTAAATTCCATGCTTATATTTATACTTTTTAACACTCTGAAAATAATAAATGACAGAACTTTGTTTCATCAACTGTCTTCCATCTCAGTCGACTGCACAGAGCTACTTTGAGCATGCTAAAGCAGAGTACGCTGGCAGGGCGGGCTCCACGGACATTGACATTCATCAGCCCACAGAGCCTCAAGTGCCCAGCTGCAAGCACTGGCATATAATCATTGCTACAGATGATTATATTTTTAGAACCATCTAATTAAGCCCTATTTTCCTGGGCTCAGAGACAGCTATATGGTAGCTCACCTGTTCCAGCTTCATCTTGTTAATTACAGACCTCTTCCTTCAAACACAGCCAGGTGTCCCAGCCAGCAACAGGCCCAAAGTGTTGTCCAATACCCCCTTTCTAACAGGAGCAGCACAACTGTTTTGGGGCAAGTCACATGAGAACCATGCTCATCTCCTAAATGCTTTCCATGTACACGTGAATAAGTGAATAGTTGCTGGTTTTCTCTTTTCCCTTGTTATTCAACAGAGAATGTGAATATAGTATTCAGGAAGCAAATTCCTATTACACTTGGTGTCTATTTCTACTTTATCATCACTTGCACACTACTTTCTACTGCAACCTACTGTATATTTTTACCTTCTTTTTTTTTTTTCCCACCTGTATGTAGCCACAGGAATAAACTACTTCATTTTAACAGACACTAAAGGTTTAACTACCTTTTCTTTCAGGTCATTAGCCTTCTGAACTAATTTTGCTCACATTGTATTTATTCACAATACCTTAGCAGCAGCAAAAAAAAAAAAAAAATTAAAGACCCAACATAGCTGTGATAAACAACGCTGCCGCATGGATTTGCTCTCACTGAACCAAAGAAGCTTAGTAAAGCGTTGGCATGTTTCTGCATCAGACTGCAAGTGAGCAACAACTGTTACAGCTTTATCTTGGTACAATACTGCTGACTGCTTCAATTAAAGTATTACATTCTTCTTTTTTTAGATACCTCCTGCAGCCCCAACTAGTACAGCAGATGAGCACTTTTGACAGTTGCTACTCATACCCCAACACCTTTTCCCCAGCCTTCGGGGAGGCGTATAGCAAGTGGAACACGATTTTCATCCAATTATATATTCCCACTTCTTTTATAGATCTGTGAAAACAACAAGCTTCCCTGAACGTTCATTTCTTTGCCTGAAAAAGAAAGCTAACCAGCTAACTACTTTGCAGGTGTTACTGGTGCAACATTTTAAGAAGCATACATTAATGTACATAACAAAAATAATCTAACAGCAATGCTCTGGACTTAACTCCTTCAGGGCCTGCTCAGTAGCCCCCCCATCGCAGCGTTGCAAGTTATCAACTGTTTCACTGGTTGAAGGTATCTTTTAGTTTACTCTTACTCCAACACGAAGGTCAATAATGACTATTTAGCTGCCAAATCGCAGCCTGCCCCCAAGATCGGACACGCTGCAGTCCTTCTGTCCTCCCAAGCACAGCGGAGGCAGAAGCTCCCGGCCACAGATCGGCAGGTGCCCAGAGGTGCAACCTTTGCTGGGCTGCACTGGTGGCTGCCACAAGTCCTCTGCCCAGTTCCTTCTCTGGCTGGTGCCAAGGAGCCCGGAGCAAAGCACACAAAACCTGACCTGAGGCCAACCACTAACCAAATCAAGGCACGAGATAAACAGCGGATTAGAGGCATTGAAGTAAGACACCATTGATGGGGAAGAGATACCAACCAGATTATCATTAACACCACACCCACACCTGCAAAGACACCCCAAAGCTATGGAAAGACACACCATTTTTGCCATGGAGGAACAGCACACTTACCTTTTTCGTTTGCTGCCCTCAGCTGGCTGCAGGCCCAGCCAGAGCACGGGGCCCTCACAGGCTCCCGTGCAGCCCCTGCCACACCACCAACACCCACTCCCAGGGCTGAGACTCCTCCATTCGTGGGCCTGAGGGCACCAATCACATGGGGAAGGCCTAAATGGCCCCAATGAGCCTCAGCTGTGACCATCAGCCCCACACCTGGGCCAGGGGCAGCAGCTGTCAGCGCCGGCCCTGCCGTGGGCCCCTCTTGCCCTCTTCCCCACACCAACCAGCATCCCACAGGCACACAGGTCCTGCCCCAAATAACCAATTTCTTGAAGTACAAAGACCTCACGAGTCTTAAAAATGGCTTATGCAAAGTACTGGAATGCAAGTGGTCAAGAGCAACCCTCTCCTGTGAGCAAGCAAGTGGTGTTTTCCCCCCTCTCCTCCCCACCACGAGGAACCAGGTCCCTTGTGCAGGTGCTGCTCATAAACTAGATAAGGGCAGCAGACATTTGTAACATCACCCTGCCGCACAGCCATTGAAATACACAAAGAGCATAGAAATTCAAAATACAAATCTTTGTGCAATACACTTTTATTTTTTTTTTAACCTTTGCAGTCATCTTGGAGTAATCATCATGTAAACAGTAGGATGGGATGGGATTACATTGAGTCGTACGCAAATGGCTCTAGAACACCTCAACGATTATGACAAGGCATTATAAATAACTTCTCTTAAGAATATATATTTGCCGTTTTCAGTACATTAAAGAGCTGCCGTTTATCTAGGATTAGCTAGGAAGTAGTTTAAATTGTAACCGCCGAGAAACACGTCTCCAGATTTGAAAGTCTTTCTAAGGTTCGCTAGCTCCATAACATCTATGTCACAGGTTAAGCATAAGACTACTTGGGTCAGAAGTGTTTTCTTTGTAACAGAGTTTTACTTGATCATTGCACAAAGCCCTATTATTTTCACTCCACCTTCGTATTTTGCAGAACTTCAAGTAAAGCTTCAGTTCTGTTCTTCAAGTTTTTATCACCTGTATGAAACCAGTTTCTATCATTAAGGGTAAGTGGGATCAGAGATGGATACAGTAAGCAGTCTACCTTAACGACAACAGCTTAAAGTAGTTCTAGCTCATAATCTCCCCAATAAAGCATAGTCAAAACACTCTAATACCTTTGCAACTGTATATCCCCTCCTTGCTCAGATAACTATATATATTTATATATATTGTACCATATGTATGGTACTTCTAGAAAATGGAGATTATTTATTTAAGCAGCCTCAGGCACATTCTTAAAACATTAATGTCTGCAAGGCACCTCCCACTCCCTTGACAATCAGTTTGTGGACTGGTTTTTAAACACACAACCAACAAAAGCTTTCTAATGCCTAATTAATTAAAAAAACCAAAACCCTCGAAGTTACCAAATACTTCAAAGATATACCTGAAACTTTTTTAAATAATGGGAGATTAACTGCAAGTAGCACATAATCAAGTCAAATCATTTTCTTATTACTAGGATGTGTAATGCATAAATATATGAAAAATAAAATTCACAGTCAGTTTTAAAACTAGAATTCAAGTTTGGCTAATAATTCTTAACTTTTATATGTATGTTAATTTCTAAATATAACAGAACAGAGGCAGTATTATCAACCACAAGTACAGATAAAATAGTATCACTCAAAGTTTATGAAAGAAGTAAGCTTGATAGAAAATTCCTTTTGTAACCAATAAATAGATCCACCTGAGTGCATTTCCACAGGCTTTTCACTTAGGGGGAATCCAAATCAACTGCTAAGAGACATTTAGTAGCATTTTGAATGTTAGCAGCAGCGGTGTAGCTGTGGGCTTCGCTTGTTCTGACTTTGTGAATTGCTAGAGAATGAAGCGGAACTCAGTGTGTGGTGCATTAATTTTCCTTTGCATCTAAGCCGGACTCTTCGCAATCTCACAATTCAGCTTGGGGTCAAGGGACAGACATCAGCTGACACTTAACTGAGCAAACCCAATCAGTTTCACTTCATCGGGAATCTCAGTGCCATCACAGCCAGAGGCCTGCAAGTACAAACAGAAATGTTTAGTATATCACTCTACAAAGGAGGGTTTGACAGCGAGGTTGTAAGTTTCCCCCATAGCACCTAGTCAGCAAACAGCTTGCTTGAAGGAAAGCTTTCAGACTGCTTGGTGTATCCTCTGCCAGAGTCAACCAACTGCATCCTTAATTTTAGCAAATTCTTTTAATCAACATTAAAAATTATGTAAAAAATACTGGGATATTAACACTTAAAGACCCAAATTCTTTAACCCAAACTTTCCAGACTGGAGCCAAATGTGCTTTTTCATGCAAGCATACTGTTTTCACTCATGAAGAGCCAATAATCTAAAAGTATAAAATCCACCTTCTACTGTTGTGCTCTAGACACCAAATGTCTCACGAGTCCAGCTATCAAGTCTGTTTGGAATACCAACCCACTGAATTTTTAAACAAGAGATTGAAGCAGTCTGCGAAGAGTAATAATATTTGCAAAAGTACAGCTCCTTTCTGATAGTACCACCTAGTACTTAAAATTGTATTGTTGAGGTTCTTCAGTAAAGTCTGTCCCAGGACCAACTGGCACAACTGATCAGTTCAATTTACACAAATAACTGTGAAAATATAAAATCACCATTCTCAAGACAGAACTGTTACTTTAGTTCTGCTTTAAAAAATTATACATGCTGTAGGCAAAATATTTTTATATTTTGATTTTTAAACACAAAATTTGCGCTTCTGTAGGACAGAAGTGACTACATTTTTAATAAAGTTTTTTATGCATTCTTCACCTGTGTGGTATATAAATCAAAATATTAATAGAATTGGATGAACGGTTTGTAATGGTAAATTACTTATGACAGATGCCTTCAGACTCTTTGGCATATCCCCCCAAAAAACATCAGAACAATTGGTTCACCCAAATGTTCTTGATCCTTTTGTGCACAAATACAGGCTGGGCAGGGAATGGCTGGAGAGCAGCCCTGAGGAGAAGGACCTGGGTGTGCTGATTGACCAGAAGCTCAACATGAGCCAGCAATGTGCGATCGCAGCCCAGAAAGCCAACCGTATCCTGGGCTGCATCAGAAGTGTAGCCAGCAGGTCAAAGGAGGTGATTCTGCCCCTCTACTTGGCTCTTGTGAGACCCCACCTGGAGGGCCATGAGGATGATCCGAGGGCTGGAGCACCTCTCCTGTGAGGAGAGGCTGAGAGAGTTGGGGCTGTTCAGCCTGGAGAAGAGAAGGCTCTGGGGAGATCTTATTGCGGCCTTCCAGTCCCTAAAGGGGGCCTACAGGAGAGCTGGGGAAGGACTTTTTACTAGGGCATGTAGGGATAGGACGAGGGGGAATGGCTTTAAACTGGAAGAGGGCAGGTTTAGATTAAACATTAGGAAGAAGGTTTTCACTTTAAAGGTGGTAAGGCACTGGCACAGGTTGCCCAGAGAGGTTGTTGAGGCCCCATCCCTGGAGGTGTTCAAGGCCAGGCTGGACGTGGCCTTGGGCAACCTGGTCTAGTGGGAGGTGTGCCTGCCTATGGCAGGGGGGGTGGAACTAGATGATCTTTAAGGTCCTTTCCAACCTAAACCATTCTATGAGTCTATGAACCCTTTAGTAGAACTGGTTTGTGTATATGCATGACAAGGAAAAGAGCTCGCAGACTGGGTACAAAACACGCACCGAGTGACATTATCCATTGAGTTTTCATGACAAAAAATAAACTCACTTGATACTTGTTGCAAGCATTATACCAAGCTACTCCTTCAAATTTACTTTGATCAGACACAGAGAACAGAAGTTCTGTCTTCAGAGAGTATTTCACAGGTTTTATTCCACTGAAGCAGCAAGTTAAAGGTCTGAGATCATCACTATTGGTTACTACTAAGTTATCTCAATGAGCTTTAGATTAGGAATTTACTAAATAAATGGAGTTTGAATTTTGCACTTAAAACACCATGATAAAAACAGCTAATATTATTAACATAATTCTACAGTCTAGCTAGCTAGCATGGCTTTCAGGAGATTGCTAAGTAACATATCTAGATGTATATACATTTTTAAATGCCTTCCTTATCAATAAATATTGTATAATATTTAATGCACCTGGAACCTATTAGCTTGTATTTTGTGCTTAGCGTAAGTACAACTACTGTACACAAACTGCAACATGCAATAAAAGCTCTTAGTATTTGCAATTCAGTGTTTAGTGACTGAATGCATTCTTTCATTAATGGTTTTTTCCTCCCTTTTTCATATGAAAAATCCTTACATAACATGGAAATTATGCTGTGCAATAATTCTGTGTTTCCTTGAGCGTTGCCAAGATTAATTGTGTATTAAAGCAGCTTCTTTCTCAAAGTGTGGACAGCTGGATCGTGCAGGGAAGTCATTATTCTGCATTAGCCAAGACAAGTAAGGGTGGTTTAATACTATATATGCTCTGCAGAATTACATCATTGTAAGATCAAAGATACACTGTTGAAAAACGTGCAAGAGGGAGATCAAACCTTAAAGACAGATTCATCCAGATACCTCACTTCAATAACTTTCTTTACCATTTTGGCAATAATTAAAGACAAAAATGGTTAAGACATAAGTTGTTGTTCTTTTCTCCCCAGAGACAAAAGTGCTTGCTGTCTGAATAGAAATATTATATACCAGCAAAAGCAATCTGCAAGCAGCGAGATACTAACCAGATTCCCTGTCCCTGTTAGTAGTAACTAATCCTAGACTAAAGAGCACTTTTCAATTGAATTCTCTGAATGGATATAGGATTAGCTACATTTAGACTTTGAATCCCCATGAAATATTTACCAACAAAATGTGTTTTAATCAAGTTGTATACAAGCGCTCTCAAATTCAGTGAGACCTTGCTAAGAGGTAACGAAGACTCAGTAGAGCATACAAACAAGTGACAGAGTTCTCCTAGGCAACAATTCATTTAGGAACTCCGCTACACAATATAGAAACAGGCAGAAACAGAACATATATTAAGTTAATCCAAGGATAAGAATAAATTAGGATACTTCTTGTGGTTATGTTCTTTTCCCAGGAAGTAGGGAATTAATGCAGGAAACCTAGGTTAAAAATATCAGGAAGAAACTTCAGTTAAAAATTAACCTCAGGAAATGTTACCTAGCCAATGGAACTTACCTTGAGAAGGGACAAAGACATTGATTTTGGATTATCTATTAATTCTGATTATGGTAAGGAGTAGGATTATAAGTGTTCACTTACTGGAATCTGAAATACCATGTGACACTGAGTGCATACCAGCAATAAATCTGAATCACCGAAATACCCCAACCTAAATTTTGAAGTGGTTTTGTTTTCAACATATATAAATATTAACTGGATACTATGATATATTACATTTTGGAATTTCAAGACTATTTTAAGTGTGCGAACTCGAAACCCAAAATTCTACAGATCCTCTGGAATAGCTATATATCTAAATGCTCTTGGTGAGATGCCATTGACTATACAATAAAGCTAAGTCAGATGTTTAGACAGCAAGAACACAGATCAGCTGCAAAAAGGAAGCATCAGCCTTTAAGCTATATTTAGATAGTAAGAGCCACAGAAACAAAACAATTTGAGTTACATGTCCTTATTTCCCCACTCCAGCCCCCTCCCAAAAGAAACATGTAAGTTCTGATGATTTCACTAGACGGTAGAGGAAAAATGAGTCCAAATTATTTGGTCAAGTTTAAACTACTCAAATCTATATTTTAAAAAATGACATGGGACGAACAATCCTGAATTAATACATTATCATCAACTAGGTCACTTACTCTCTAAAAATGGTTCTCTACAGCCCAAATGAAGCAGCTGCTTTTATAAACAAAGCTATGATTCTGGAGACCTACTTATCTAGCAGACATTCAGTCTAGTCTTTCATTTGTGGCTGAGTCACTCTCAGCAAGGGGTGCTGAAAGCTAATTGGTGAGAGTTTGGTATTTACATAGCTAATCATTCCATAGCTTTAGGTATGTACATTTTTCAACTTAATTTTAGGAAGAAATAAAAACAAATACAGCACATCAATTCTGAATTAAGTTTTTGCAATGTAAAGTTATTAATATTAAATTAGATCTATCATGATAGCATCAAAATCGACCAAAAGTAGGACCCATGGTCCAGGGCCCAAAATACAGCTCAGAAAAATGTCCCAGGCCCAAAACCAGGGCCTGATGTTGTACATACAGAAGACAGAAACAGGTGAGGAGGGAGAAACAGTAATGAAATACAGTGGGAGCAAGATCAACTGGCAAATGTGGATGGTCAATTGAAAGAAGGTTGAAAGGAAGAATTAAGGAGAAGCAAGCAGTGGATAGGGAGACAGGCACGCAAGAAAAATGGTGGCAGGTGTTGGAAGAAAGTGTTGGGATGGGAACAAGATGTCCGTCAGCAGAAGACACTTCAGCCAGGGCAGAGCTGAGGGAGTGGGGGTGGAGGGGAGTTAACCTAACAACTATCGTTTTCTCTGCTTTAGTTGTTTTAACCTCCTTCCCCCTACAGAGTTATGGAGCTGTGTGACTGTACATATCCCTAATGTCCTGTCAAAACAGGGTTTAGGTTTCTTCTTTCACATGTGGCAATTTCAATCATCTCATCTGTCAACACATTCATTCAGCAAAATAGCTGTAAATGAGATAAAATCCAGTCTCTGTGTGAATACTGTGATAACTAGTTTGTTTCTTCCCTACATGTTTTTACTTACCAACTTAAAAGTCAAAGTTTTCAAGGCCTTTGGATCATCTACTATCTTCTGTAAGTTAGCAGCAACTGTAAAATAAAGTACGGAAAAAATGATTTACAGAAATTGCATTCAGTATGACATCAAGCCTCATGTTGAATCTTCTACTTAATTCTACACACAGAGATGTCTGTAAATTACCAATTGAATCATTTAATCACTCTAGCTGTCATTTGAAAGTCACAGGGCAGCTGGGCTGCCATAAATCCTGCCTCCTTTCGTTTGCAGTCACTGATACTTTGTGACTGTGTGAACTGACTCAGGAGAAAAATCAGCCTGAAAACCAAGTGAACAAAAAAACCCACCCTACTAAGTTTCAGCTTAGTCTATTCCATAAACAATCACCAACCACCAACCACATAAATGCAAGTGCAAGGAAAATGAGAGAATCACGCAGCCAAGGATAAGCTGACGGCTGGCATGATTTATATCATATTTCTACTATAGCCAGGGCCACCATGAGCACAAGTTTCTAGGAGAAGGCTGAGCTCACTCTAACTTGTTTCTCCTGGCTTTACGTGTGTGCTTCTGTTCCTTTTTTGGGGTGGCATAGGGTTACCACAGACTTGTGGTAATCTGTTATAGCTCACTATCAAAAGAAAAATGAGCAAAAATAAGAGAGTGATACAAAAGGAGTTAATGTTCAAACTACTCTCTCAGTAAGCGTGACCGAGATTTGTGATGTAACAGCAATAAACAGTTTACTTAGATCTACAGAGCTCAAGTGTCCAGAGAAGGAAGCTGAATGCCATAACAGAAGTAGCAGGAAGGAAATAATTCACTCCTTGAAAACAGAGGAGGAGGCAAGAAAATAATAAACCCTTTTCCTATTAAAACACCGAAGTCACACGTTTAATTGGTCTGCTTTTTACAATATTGCTACCATTAATCTTGACCAAAAAATTGTTTGCTTTCAGCTTTGTATGCTTACTAAACTTGCTCCCCAGCTTTGCAGAGTCATAGATCCTGAGCTAACTCAGATCGAATCACTGAGAGAGCCTTTGTTTAAGGCTGACTTAGGAGCACAAGATGTCATCAAGAGGGCATCATCATGAGATAAACACTCCACACTTGGCACAGCTGTTTAGAAAAGATTTTAAAAAGGAAGGAAACAGGTATTAAGTAGCAAACATTTCTTAGTTTACTGAGTAGGTAAGTACCATAAAGAAGTGAAGCAAGAAACTGGATGTTCTCCATAAATAGTACTTTCAACAGACTTCATAAGGTGGAAGATACAGAGCAAACATTTGCATGTTGTATGTCATACTGCTACAAACTCAGGTTCCTACTTTCTCCATCCTCTAACATCACGATGATAAAATTATCACTCCTACCATGTCGGATCATCTATGATTCACTGTGTAGTAACAGAAATTGGCCTCACAGGGGGAAGTACAGTATTTGGCAAGGGAATTTAGAGAAGTAAACAATTAGGCCAATCTATCACAGTTAAATGCAAATTAAATTTTTGGGGGTCTCATTTTCTTTATCCCACTGAAATGGCACCAAGGATTGTTTATACACCTGTAACATATTTGACTGGGGATGAAAGGGTGTTTGAAACTAAAAACGAGCCTTAAAATCAAGAACAAGGTACATTTTTTAGACCACACTTCTTGAAGAGAAAAAAAAATTAACCTTCATAGTTAACTGAACTCAACTTCAGGCACTAAAATAGAAAGTACTTCTGTTTTTAAAGCTTCATTATTCATAATTTTCTTTATTCTAGTTATTACAAACAGTGTTTTTTTTAATAGCACGATTCACTTCCACAATCAATAAGTCAATTTTATTGCAATACCTCCTACCTGATAAAATACATGCAAATAGAGATAATGCTTTTCATTACAATTAATACTTAGAACCTCATATGTAGGCAAAAAGGAGTGTTCAGCCTCATAGCTCCTAAAGCCAGAATAGAATAGCTTCAACTTTTTACATCTTAAAAATCTATAAAATAGGATCACACACTCAAGGAGCAGCTCCACATTATCCAAATCTCTGTAAAACATACCTTAAAAAAAAAAAATAACGAAAGAACAAATACTCCAGCTAGTGTTCGCTGGCTTTACTGTAGCGGAGACACAGTGCTACAAAACCAGACAGGAGTTGGGTCCTAAGTCCAAAGATTTCTAACTTCACCTATTATAAAATGTTACAAAAAGATGAGCTTCAAATGAACACGTCTTCAAGAGGGAGAGCCTTTCATTTAATGTTGAGCAGCTGTAGAACAACTAAGGCAAGTCAGCATGCCGCTTGCCAATTTTGCCCAAATGTGAAAACTTCCAGGCACCCTTAGGCAAAGTTACCACTCCTGCACTTGCAAACAGCAGCCCGTTATCAGCAAGTGTTTTAATGAACTATCATACCATGGAAAACAGCAGCACAGAGGACTTCACAAGTAGTATCAAAATCTTAAAAAACCCTTCCCTTCCTGTTGATTCTTTACCAGGGAAGAAATTAAAATTTTCAAAGCAAAAATAGCAAAAGATAAACTAGCAATATATGTAAGTAGTTAATTCTAATTGCTTTTTTTTTTGTTAATTAGACACCATAACAGAAAGGAGCAATATTTTAGACAGATACATTCTTCAAGAACTGCTCTTCAATGAACAGTGCTCATTAAAAGGCCACAGGGACACAGTTTTATGTTCACTTGTCTTTACTTTTAATATGAACACAACCCGAAAACTTTTATATATAAAATGCTAGAGAAAAATCTGAAGCAAGCATATGAAATATGCTTTATTTTTGCTTCTCTGATGGGCCATAACTAGAGTGGGACGTGTTTAATCAAACAAAAGATTAGGAGGATTTATGGGAGTAATGCCAGATGTTTTCAGGCTACGCTTGAAAATAAGAAAGCTGACCTGCAAAGAGCCCATAACAGTAGAATACAAGTTTACACAAAAAATAGTCACACCTGCAGTTTCCTACAGAGAGATCTTTTCAATTTCAATTATAAGCATTCAGCATTTTTCAAGTAAAACTAGCGTTTCACCTGTGACTTTTGGTACTCTGTGTTTTACATTTTCTGGTCTTTACAGAATGGCAATAAAAATGATTTTGCCAAAATAATGTCATTAATTCCATTCAAGTAAGCCACCGTGAATGCGAATCCCCCCAAAGGCCTGCTCTTTCTGCATTATCTGAAAGCAAAAGTAATTAATATCAACTAAGAATCAAATACGTGTGTCTAATTACCTAACAAAGACATACAGTCCTGTTGGTATCTTTTTCACTTTTCTAACTCCTTGCTTTTGTTTGGCTCGGTCTTGCCCTTATTTAGACTGCAAGGCCAACAATTAGAGGCAACTGTCTGATTTTATTTATTTATTTATTTATTAGGGATGAGACAATCATTATCCTTTTCACCTTAGTGCAAGCCAAAGGGTCCAGGACCTCAGCAAGTACATAGCACTGGGTTTGTCTCTCTGCACCTAAACACCTTGAAGATCTGGGCTCAGCTGGTAACCAGAATCTTCTGGAGCCTGATCTAGTCAGCTAAGGAAAACAGCAGTAACCCATGAACTGCAGGTGTCCGTGGCATCTCCAGTTTAGTTAACTTCCTTCAGAAATAGAACCTGCAGCACAAGCAGCACAAACCATCCAAGCAGTTGAAAGTCCTTCCTGAAAGCCAGCCTGCAGTGCCTTCCAATTACTTCTCCAGAAAGTTTGGGAATCCCATCTTAACTACAGCAGAGACATCCTCAAAATTACAAGTAGAACAACATACTCTAGAGTGGAATACTCATCCTACTTTAAATGCAATTAAATTAAGCTATCAGTTGCATTAAAAATAACTCACCACTCTTACGAGTATCTAAACCTATACAGTTCAGACCATTAAGTATGCAAAGTCTCCTGAAAGACACCAAGAATTCATACAAGCAGTTGCAGCTACTGTTCAGCCCTATTCAGAATTACTGATCACATCAGGCAAGAAAAAACCAATTACTTTTAAGTGGAACTACTATTAGGCTTTACTGATGAAAATCTCCCCCAGCTACTAAATTTAGGCTCTTTTCATGAAGGAAAATAATTTACTACATCAAGACACACTAACCGTCCTAGTTCAGCTCACGTACAAAGTTTTAATTTGGCTTCAATACAAAAAATGAGCCTAAAGGTTCCAAATGCAGATGGACCCAACCACATCTGCGAACACTAAGGAGGAAAATAACCATCTGACTCTCACCACCTCTCCCTCCTCCACGCTCCAAACAACTCTATTAATTGCAAGTCGGTGAACAAAGTAATTTTAATACAGTAATGCTCCCCCTCAAGTAAAAAGGAGTTTCACATTAGGAGTTTCTAGAGGTAGGAATCATTCTCTCCACTGATACTTAAATTATTGGGAAAAGTGGAGAGTGTTGTAAAATATATGTCTGTGGATTCTACTTTACACCTTATCTCTAAGTTAAGTATACTACAGTTCCCATTGACAAAGCCATTTTTCTTTGAAGTACTCTGAAGCCATGCCTTGGATGTTGTACTTCTGAAATTCATAGTAGATTAGTTTGCCTGCAAGCACCACTAACAGACAATTTCAAATCCTGTTGGGAATTCACTGTTTCTACATGGCCTGGATATACTAGACTCAACTTTATTTCGCAGAGTGTTTTCTCAAGATGTTATGGCCATGCTCCTATAAAAGTCAGAAGAAGAAACATGAACAAGATAACTGCAGGAAAAAATTAAGTGGTGACGGAAAAACCTTTGCCAGCAGTAGCCTCAAGTAAATAGAGTATACTTCAAATCATGCCTTGGAGCAAAAGCCCTCTTCAAATGTTAGCAGCAGTTAGCACAATAGGCTTTTTGTTGTTTACAGCAATAAATGAGGTGCCGTTCTGCTTTCTTCAGAAGGCTTCTGAAGGACATATAATCAACCTATGTACCACAAATCATTCCAGGTTCTTTTGCAGGTTTTGCTCTGTGACAAATGGTTGTGCCAGTCTGTCAAAATAAGTGTCGACACTTGCAGAACCTGCAATAGGATAAAAAGTCGAATACAGCATATGAATATACA